GGACTTTAAAGCCCCATCAATAAAAGGGATAAGGATACCATAGGGAGATAAAGGGTTCAGTTTTTATGCTGTAAAATATTTTCTTTAGTCTTTCAAAGTATGGTTGTCTAATAACATTTCTGTACCCTCAGAAAAATTTAGTTTTGAATGTAAGATTAAATATATTTTGCAAAAGATGCAAAGATCTTTGTGGTAGCTGATTGAATTGCAGTGTTTGCTTTATGTTTGTTTCCCCCATGTCAGTGCCCTTAAGTTGGAATAATTTATATTGAAATATTAGGCAGCTACAGGTACCAGACCTCAATGTATATGATGTATCAATTCAACTTTTTCCTGTAAGGTCATGACTAAGCTTGTTTCTTGAGAGAACTTCCAACATCACTAAGAATACTGTAGTATTGCTGTGATGTTATTGTTTGAGGCTTATGTAGTAAAGATGATGAAAAATATATTACGTCACCTTTTACTGCAACATTCAACTTATCAATGACAGAAATTGCTTATGCTGAAATAATAAGTATTGTACATTTTAAATGGATATTTATGACCCAGTTTTAACACATTTTAGCTCAGTTTCTGATTTAATACATCTATATAACTATTTACAGTTCTTTCTATTTGAATGGTCTATGTGCAGTTCATACATGTTTTTACTTATACCTTTTGATAAATCTCAACTTTATATCTGAGATTAGCATATGAAGTAGAAAACCAAAATTCCACACTGCTCAGGACATGAAATTCTCTACATTGTAGAGTTTTGTTGATATCTGATCATAAATGAGAAATTATTACATGCAAACTAAAAACTGGAACAACAAATGAAAATAAATTTAAAGAAAGCATATTAAATACAATTAACTTTTAAAATCTTTTATAGTGAAATGCATATTTAAACATATCATGTTATATAAAAATAAAATGAAACTTGCCAAAATTCCAATTACTTCATTCTTGCTTGATTAAAACAGCTGAGAGTTAATCTTTGGTTAAAATTATAAATTTAGTCACTTTGCACAAAATATTTATTTAGCACAAGTTATAAAAATGATAATCAACAGAATATGGTAAATTATTTCAATACTTAATGACGAAAGCTTTTGCTAAACACTGTCAAAGCTATTTGAACTTCATTATTGACATTTGATAAGCTGTGCAAATGTTTGCATTGCTATTGCATTTTGTGATAATGAAGAATGAAATTGACCAAGTTATATGCATTTACGGCATACATTCTCTTAATTTGTTTTTGTTGTTTTTATGCTATATTGTTCATTTATGTTTTTAAATGTTGAAAATCTTCAAAATAAATTCTGTCCAGCATCTTAAAAGAAAATATGCTTGTAAATAGATAAGAGCAATTCAAATCCATATAGTTTTAAAACTAATTGATATAAGATTAAAAGGTAAACATATAAAAATTAATTTAGGATGTCCATGTTTACAATGTGATATTTCGATTAAAGTAATTGCCACTTCAAAATTTTATATCTTGAAAAACAGGAATTGTTGGTATAAAAAACAGTTCTGGGTATTCTTAATATAAAAATATAATATTTGACTTCAAAAATAAACAGGTCATATTCACATTGTAGAAAGTCATGCTCTTATTATTTGACATTTGTGAAAACATATGTTTGTCCCCCAAAAAATTATCCAAAATGCTTCTATTGGTGAACTGTATTTTGTGAAACTTTTTCACATTCACAAAAATTAATCTTGTATAGTTAATGACTTTAATTTCAATACAGTTTTTCCTAATGATTTTAAAATTCTATTAAATTAATTTTTTAATATTCATTACTGCTTCTGCCAGCAGTGCTACCTTTCTGTTTGCTTTACTCCTTTTGGGTATAAATACAACTGTGACTTTCTCTTTATTGCAGATTTCTTTGCTCCTGATAAAGATGAATCTGTTTGCCCTTCAAATTGACGGTCTTAACTAAAATCTATGCAAATAACAAGGTTATTGCTCTGCCTAATTTAAGTTCTTGCAGTTTTATTCTTATATGAAGGGTACTGAAAATTGAATAAAACCTATTTTACATAACTAGTTTTCTTTGTTAAAATATGCTCAAATGACACACAAATTATATTGATTAATAAGCGTTTCATTACAGAAGAAAATTTTCATAATTATGTCATTTGTGATGCTGATTTTGGTACTCTCAATCATTTGCACTCCTGCTGAAAAGTCGCAAAAAATACTCAAAGGCAAAGCAATAAGTCATGAGTGACAAAATAGTGACATGTCAACCCATGATGTTACCAAAAAGTATTCATTTGGCAATCCAGGTTTGTGCTTAGACCATCTAGTGCACAGTGCTGAATTGAATAGATGCCAAGTTTGTCCAGTTCTGCGATTTTTTTTTAAGTAAAAACAGATCACTGTGTACATGGGGAGAACAAAGTGCAAAACAGAAGGATTTATATATATAAAAAAACTATTTTATTGCTAATGTTTCTTTTTTAAAATTTTGTTGATTGATTATTGCTGTATGTAATTCCTAGTGTGCTACCATTTTGAATATGGCTGCTGTCTTTTGTGCATTAGCTTGACAAAAAATTAGTTGCTAAAAAGTTTGCAATGAGTTTGCAGTTTTTCACTGGGTTTAGATAATTTATCAATACACAAATAATGTTTTGCTAGTAAGAATAAAGGGGTGGAATCTCTTGAGAGGGGAGAAAAAGAGTAGGATTTATTTGAGGTAGCAAGAGTTACTTTCACATATTTTCTGTTCCAAAAAGGATAGCTTTGTAAATTGTTGGTTAACAAGCAAATGAGAAACCATGGTATGTCTACGAAGGTATGAAAAATGATGCTCTGTCTAATAAGGAAGTAAATCACAACTTGTATTTTATTATGTCAACACTACCATGGACTTCTTACAGGAAAAATTTATCTTAAAAAAAAAAAAAAAAAAAAAAAAATCTTGTCATCAACTGAAATGATACTTAACATGATTAAAAAACTAGTTCCTTCTGACTTCAGTTTTCCAATGACATAGCTGTATAAGGGTAATAGAAATTCCTGAAGAATATATGCTGTGAATTATCTGGTGTTTTTATTATTATTTTGATGAACACAATACATGATACATTTATTTGGCTTTCCTAATACCAAATAAATTTCTTTAAATAATTCAGTACCAGTCTGTTTATGATTGATATTTATTAATGATATGTGTGTAGTATTTAACACTTTAATAACTTTTAATAGCAAATAAACCTTTCATCTATCAAGAATATGTATTTTGTGAAAATTCATTAAAAGCAAAATTCAGATACTTACTTTCTCACTTTGGCCAATTTGCTCAGTCAAATATGATGACTGGCTGGCAGATCTAAAAGTAATGGAAGTTGTTTTATATTTGGGGCTCTGGCCAGGATACCTTCACAACAGTCCCTGACTGATCAAAGAGTTAGAAGTAGCTTCATAAGACAGGTAAGTATGATTGAAATGGAATTCTCAAAATCTGGTTTTCATCATAAGTATGTCTATTGGAATCTACGTGAAAAAGCATTATAGCATCCAAAGACATGCTCTTCAGTCTACTTGAAGAAAGAAATGCTCTTCAGTTTATTGACAAATTTAAATTAACTCTTTACACTCTGAAGTATTGTTAGAAGGTAATGGATAAAATTTGGTTTTAAGATATTAATCATTCCTAACAGAATGCCAGTTTTGCAAATAATTGGAGAGACACAAATTCAAATAGATTTATATATTAAAAAAATTAGTAAAATTTCTTAAATACATAGGAAATATATGAGATAATAAGTTTTAACCTTTTAAAAGATCTGTTAATTTTAAATGTACTGAATTCATTATTGGTGTGCAAACATGTTTTGTGAGTTTGCGTAAAAAAAGTTAGCTTTTTATAAATAAAAATATATCTCCTACTCAGATCTATGTTTAGATCATTTTCATTTCCTTTTGACAAATGCAAGTGCCATTGAATTTCACATCATTTTCTTAGGAAGTTAAGTTCTCTCAATAGAATAATATGAAAATTTTGCTTTTTTATAATAAAATTAGCATGTTAGGGATTATTACCTTGCTAGGAAGACCTAACGGAGACATCTGACATAATCGACCCATATCCAAAACTAGTTTTCCCTCATAGGGCAGTGAGTTGAAAAATCTGAACTGCAGGTAGAGCGGAGCTAGTTGACACGTGGAACTGACTCTGTTAGCTCAGATAAACCCCAGTGGGAATGGCCCTTTAAAGTTACACCACTTGCCAAGTGGCTAAAGTTACAAAGCACCAATAAGTTTGTTCTCCATTCTTGACAGTTAAATAAGCTGGTTGGGCATTTTTTCATGAGTAGTACAAATATAAGCAAGCTTCCTTTAGAAAGTTCTTCACTGAGAGATAGCTCTCTAGTGCTTTGTTGTGATTCAGCCATTTGATGTTAGGAAAATTCATTTCATCCATTAGTGTTGATAGCTCTTCAGTGCTTTGCAATAATTCTGTAGCTTGATCTTGTGGAAACTCATTCATTAATTAATGTTTTACCCTATATAATAAACATTTGATAAATTTTGCAATAAAAATCTGCTGCTATATGTGATGCTTATTAAAAATTAACCCATAAAGCATGAAAAATACTACCCTTCAAACTGAAAAGTATGTTAGGAAAAATCTAATAAAATTTTAGCAATATTAGAAAAGATAATACAATGCAAGCAATAATGATGTCAATTTTTTGCATATTAACTGAAAAAATATCTTAAATAAAACCAACACATGGTTAATCTAAATAGTTTTATAGTAACTGTAACAAAAGCTCCATCTCAAACCTTAAATAGTTTTACAGTAACTGTAACACAGGCTCATCTCAAACCTCAAGCAGCTCAACAACAACAAAAAAAAAAAAAAAAAAAAAAAAAAAAAAAAAAAAAAAAAATTCTGCAATTTGAATTTTATAGTATTTATGCACACACATAAAAACAGTGAGCTGGAAAATTATATAGTATGTATTTGATAACTCCAGAGTTTTTATGTATTTCCTAAATTTATTATTAAAACAAATTTATAACAGGAATATAAAGTTCATTTTTCAGTAATCATGGCAGAAAAATCTATTTTGAAATTTATAATCATAATTTTGTTTATACATGGCTTTATCTTCATTAATTAAACATATCTACAAGACAGGTTACACAGCAACCAATATCAGCTACCAATAACCAACCATTTCTCACAGGTTTCTTCAACTTGCTTGGTAAGTAATGGTTCTCTTATTCTGACTTTAATTTCCAGCTTGCCTCCACATGCTTTGCGACCATCCATTAACTGAAAAATGCAAAATTTATTCTGTATTGTAAAACAATTTATTATTATTAAAATGTTAAAGAAAAAGTAACAGAATATACCAGTGGTATTCAAACTATATCATGGGTCACAATCCCTGAAAATTTAAAGTGGATAAAAATATTAAAAAAGCCTGACTTGATGGTATATAACTAAGGGTCGATGTTCTGATTGGAGTCGCAAATTCCAAAGCATAACAGCCAGAGGTGACCTGATCACATGAAAGGCTTTCTTTCCAATATCAATTCACCAAACAAACTGATGTGAAAATGCCTTTTTTATAAACAGCTAATGTATGTTATGAAGTCAATCAAAATGCCTGAACTCTGGCAGTTTTACGAAAGATGTGTTAATATGAATACTTAATTTTTTCCTCTGGGAGAGACAAAACTTTCATTTGCATCAGCGATGGCACAGTGTCAAAATTCACATTGCCTCTCTTTATACAATGTCAGACACAACTAAGAAGCATAATCATCCATCTTCTACAAATGGTTTGAAATATGAATGAGATATCTGCAATATATGAAATCATCAAAATTAAAGGATAATGACAGAAATAAAATGTAACTGATACTTAATGAAAACTATGGGTGTTTGCTAAATGATTGTTTGCAGTTGATTATTTGCAAAATATTGAAATTAAAATCAAATTTATGGAAATTTGAAAATAATGGGAAAATTAAGTCACCTCTTGTGGGGGAAAAATTTTAATGTGGTATATGGTAACCTCTGACAGATATGCATACCTGACATCTTGATTTCATAGACTTTAACCAAGATTTTGATCAAGTCTTATGGAATTGCATGCTACTCTGCTAAAATGCACTTTTCAGATCCTGAAGAGTTCGAGGCAGCAATTTCACGTGCTAAAATTTGGTGCCCTAAGCAATCCTACATGTGTACAATTGGCTTCAAGTCAGGTGAGTAAGGCAGCCAATCCATTCGAGCGATATCTTCTGTTTGCAAGTATTCTGACACCACACATGCTTGATGAGGGCAAGCATTGTCAACCATTATCACAACCTGGGCCAACAGCATCCCTAAACAGTCTAACTTGGGTTTCGAAAACCTTGTCCACATATTTCTGAGTGGAACCTCCTTAAAAATATGCAGCTTGTTGTGGCCATTTGTCATGATTCCTTATCAAACCATTAACTCATTAACCGCCAAAACTACAAGGAATGTTTCTTTTCTCATGAAAATAATAACAAGTACTAAATTAAGCATTTATAAACATAAATTTACATTGGAAATTAAAAAAATGCTCTTACCTGTGGAAAACGCGAGTGTTGCGTTCGCGCAACATCAGCGGAATAAGACTACGGATGTTTAGTGAGTAGGATTGTACTCGTGTGATGTTTCTTTTGAGTGGAGCGCAGGATTACCTTTTAGCTGTATAAAGTTTTATAAATCTACAAATCACTTTACTTGTAATTAATTGAATATTAAAATATACATTGTAATTCTTTTACATATACATATTATTTCAATTGAAAGATTCACGCATGAAAAGCTTGATTACAATCATGATGTAAAGCTACATTACATACTTTGCATCTATAAACAGTCTGGCTATGGTACTCTTTACAACAAAGTCTTTTCTTATCAACGGACTTAACTAATAATGATAAAATGTCTACCATCTCCATGCAATGGTTTTTGAATGCTGAATTTACTAGGTCTTCCCGTTGCTGATCTATTTCTGGCTAATTCTGCACTCTTGCAAAAGGAATAATGCATTCTGCGTCTGAAATCTAAAAGAGAGTTTATATTTCCAGTAGTAAAATGTGTTGATATTTAGTAAGTTTAGATATGGTCTCATCTCATATAATTTATCAGTATTGTCAATTTGACCACTGTCAAACGCAAATTCTGCTTTATATTCATGTACTGCAAATGTGATATCGATTCTCCTACAACAGGAACAGAAATGTTCTTATCAAAAGACCAATACATTTTTTCTTGAGGTAAAGATTAATATCCTGTAAGCAATAATATTCCAATAAATCTTCTCATATAGGCTTCAGATGCAATAAATTCTGTGTTATTATTATTTTTTTTTCTGAGCATATATATTTGTCTGTTCAACAAGAAGAGAGTAAATGTCTAAACCAAAACGAAAATCGAAAACCTGTGCACTAGTTTTCCTTGTATTTTGTCTTTTATAATTTTTCTTCTATCTCTTTCTTCGTGTTGTTCCTGAGACATAACTAACAGTTCCTTTTTTGTCCACTTCAAGATTTCAATCTTCTGCTTTTTAAACTTTTTAGTATTACTATAACTGCTTTTAGAAGGCTGAAACTTACTTCTTACGTGAATTTCAACTTCTCCAGCAGTATCATTTCGTAAAATATGATTATCATTATTTAAAACATTGCCATTCCTTTCTTCTTCGTCACTAGTTTCTGCAATTTCTGGGGGAACAACAACAATATCAGTTTCATTCTGGTCATTATCAACATTATCATCATCTGTTTCTTCAACAAAAAATCTTTGAAGGGCTTCTTCTAATGTAAGATACCTCGTTCTAGGCATTTTTAAACAACCAGAACATGAATCAGAACATCGAAAAGAATGAGTGAAAAAGGAGATTGACTACCCGTTTCTTGCTGACGTTACGTCAGTGCAACACCTGTTTTCCCTTGCTTCCCAACACAAATATAAACATCTGACTGATGTAATGTTCTGATAAACGGTGACCTTGACTAAAAATATATCACTCATAAAGACGGCGATTCTTTCATTAAATATTTTCAGCAAAAATACCCGGTCGAAAATATGAGATTAATTATTATAAAGAAAATGATTGTTGAAGGCAAATATTTTTTTACAGAAATAATCTTCATAATATTCCCTACACAAAATCATCTGCTGGTATAAAATATCTTAGGTAGTTATATTTATATACACATTTATTTTGACCGTTGCGTCAACGCAACACCAGCGGCTAATGGGTTAAACCACACTGCGTAAACGGGATATTCCATGGACAAGGGAAGGCAAGTTGCATGTTCTTTCATTTCTCCAGAATAACACATGTCTAGATTCACTATTCAGATTACATCTGGACTCTTGAGTAAACAATACTCGGGCCCAGTTGTTTTGGCTCCCTTGAACGTGATGAATGCTCCAATTTAAACAGGCCCCTTTTGGCAGCTGGAGTGAGTAGGACACAAACCATTTGTTTTCTTGCATACAGTCCAACCTCATTAAGCCTTCGTTCAGCAGTAGAATGGCTAATTCGAGCTCTTGTGCAGCTTAGATATCTAAAACCAAATCTCTTGCAGTAGCTTTAAGGTTTCTTCCAGCAGACAATGACAAAAGATGGTCTTCTGATGCAGTTGTTCTTGGTCACCCTTAGCGAAGCTGTTTATCAACTCATCTAGAGCTTAAAATGTGGCTCCAAACTCTTGATATGATACTCTGAGGGACATTCAAATTTTGGGTGACCTTAATTTGTGTTTGATCAGCCTCGATTCTGCCAATTATTCGTCACTTTTGACATTCACGTAAATGATGCTTTTGAGCCATAAATACTAAATACTGATCATTTTCAGAAACCACATTCACTTTAAAAAACACTACCAACTGGAATTCCAACATGCGTTCACTGCGCACCACATTGTCAATCACTGAATTTACATATTTCCAGTGCTAATGTATGCGCAGAAGTGCAATTTTGTGTTCAATTGTATTTCATTAACTTAAATAATTACAACATTGGTAGCAACATGAAATTAGTATACATATTTTTTCTCATTATCACTTAATTTTTGATGACCAGTGTATTTCAGTGGCTTTTCTGGATAGGTTGTTTATCAGTTAAAATATGCCTCAGAAGGAAGGCTTGAAGTTAACAAGGCGTGTTTACAGATTTTAATCTTCCAGTATACTAATATTAAATAATAATAAAAACTTCCATATCAAAAGAAAGAAAAAGGTATGACCATATTTTAAAGAAATTATGTATGTGACAGAGAAAACTTAAATTTTTATATAGATTCTGAATTAAACTATGCAAACATAAAATCAAATATGCATAAATGGGAATACCTATAGGAAAAGTGATATACTCACATTAAAACAATCATGAATTAAACATACTGATTCCAAGTCTACCAATTTAATACTTGCTGTTCCAAGAAGCACATCACTTCTTAAGAAGCCTCTAAAAAAGAATTCAAAACAAAAATTCTGAGCAATTAATACAATAGCAGCTCTACTTTTAGTGAATTATCATAAATCAATTATCAAAATTCATAAAGAATTAAAGGTATTCTATCTATGTGCTCTTGAATCATAGTCCGCACATCAGTAATCTGAGGATTCCTAGTTTAGCTCTGTCTGAGAAAAGATGTCCAATAAAGTTTTAAAGATTTTTTTCAACTCAAATGTCTTTCATCCTATGGGTGTAAATTAAGAAAAGAACTATACATATGGACAAAATGCAGAGGACACTCAAAACAAAAGCAAGACATTTATTAAGTATGAAAATTCTACTCTTGACCTTCAGTGTATGCTTTGGACCTTTAAAAGGCAACTTATGATTTTGTAAAATAATATACAAATACATTTTCATTTTGTAATGTGACTGTGAATGCTTGCTCCGCAGAAAGCTCAGATTTTAAAATCCTACTACTATATTTTTAAACCATTCTATAGGTGTTCTGTAACAGTGGTCAATTTCTGTTATATTTTTGGATCCGAATGCTTTAAAATATGTTAGGTTTAGAAAATGTTTATGAATATATCCTGGGTTAATAAATACCAGATACTGAAGACATTTCTGCCCAATTTCAAATAATTTTTATGCACAGTTTTAAAAAACAATACTTGAAACTGAATGTAAGGTGACTCACAAGAATTCAGATACTGATTCTAATATACTTTCATGAAAATATTTGTATCTGAAAGTTTAAAATTCAATACAATTTATTAAGCACATAGGCAATACAGTTATCAAAATAATCAGTGATATTATTGATAAGTACTGAAGGTAGGTCTAAACTGTTTTAAGTATGAAAATGTACTATATTTAAATACAAGGGGGGATCAAATGAAAAGGTACGAAATGACATAAAAACGTAACAGCTAAATATTTGCATATTCCACCATGGCAGAACGTACGGAGATATCTCAGGATACGATTGAAGTCTCTGACTGGGATTGGAGCATGCGCGGGCGCTAGCATGCGCAGGAGAGAGCAGAGGCTCTTATCAAAAGCCGCGTCCAAATGATGCGGCAGTCCGTATGAGGACAGGATGGCGTTCGTGTTGCAAAATTCGACGACTGAGGAGCAGCGAGGTGTTATCCGATTTCTGACAGCGGAAGGTGAGAAACCGGCAGTTATTCATTGCCGGATGGTGACAGTTTACGGGGAGAAATGTGTCTCTGACAAGTATGTCAGAAAATGGAGTGCCCATTTTTGTGCAGGCCATGAGAGTGTGGGTGATGACCCGAGACCAGGCTAGGCGAACACTGTCATCACGAGCGATTTCTTCGACAAGGTGGACGACCTGGTGAGACAGGGTTCATAGCCACATTTTAGTTAAAAAAATAAGCACCTATAAGCACTTTTCAAGCACATTTTAAGAAAAAAAATAAGCACCTGCCTAATTACATCATATACAACTGCATAACCTTAAAAATTAGACTTGTAATTTAAAATATGAGAAATGAAGTACTTATTAAGAGAGAATAAGCATTACTCAACCATGGAAAATAATTACTTTTTTTGGTTTTTAATTTTAAATAAGTTCAATTTACAGAACTAGTTTAGAATGAGAGAAAAAAACTATGAAGAACTAACTATATTACAGGATTTAATGATGAAATTTCAGTTCAAATAGAGAAAATAGAAAATAATAATAATAAAGCATATTTATTGTATTCGCTTGGAACCTAATATTAAAATACAATTTATTTTCCCCACTCATATTGCTATTTAAATAACTTTAAATCTAAATTCTGACATTTTCTAAATTTCATTGTATATCAGTTTTTCTTAACAGATATTGCAAGCGCAAAGTAATTTAAGTAAAAAAAAAGGAACATTTCTGAAATCACAAGACAGAAATTTGCTTCATGCAGTCATCTTTAACAGTAAAAGCTCAACTACCCGCATAACTGGAAAGTTGGCGAATATTCGGACAGTCGAGCGTAACTTGATAAAAGAGGAGCGGAGGGGAAGGATAGACTGTAGCCGTTCTTTAGATTTTTCCACTAAATAAATGCTTTTGACATTTCTATATGTGCATCATATAAAAACAAACCAACGGAACAGAAAAATATTCTTTAGCAAGCACAGTAAAACTCTTTTAAGTGCTCATAAACAAATCTCGACTGACATCAAAATTAATTATCTCTGCAAAATATCGCAAATGTTATTGCACAATAACGTGCACCGTAATTCTTCCCTACGCATGATATTACGCAATTGGATTCAACAGCTGCTGGTATTGGGAGAATAAAGAACTAAATAACTGGGGTGTTTTCATTCTAATTTTCAACAACGGCGTTAAAATTCCGGAATAGAATCATTCTTGCTTGGGTTGGTAGACCGCAGAACTTTTAATCCTATTCAAAATCTAGATTGGAAAGTGACCCCCCCCCAAAAAAAAGGTCCGTTGCTTATTTTGCAGCGAACTGTGACAGGTTTCAATATTCGCGATTTTGCGGAGAAGGGGAGAATCCCAACCCTCGTACTGTTTAATGTATTGGCCAAAAAATATGAAACTATTTGACTATTCGATTACTTTCCTTTATTTAAGCCATTCCGAATATTATTCCCTAGAAAGCTAAATCTGTGTTAAAACACAACCATTTTGGAAGTTTATCTATACTTCAGCAGTTACTGCAACTATATTTTTATAAATATTCATACGTATGGCTCATAATATAAGCATAACGATCATAATAAACGCGAATATGAACTGAACCACGCGGAACGAGAATTTAAATCTATTAAGAATCTTGATAGAAACTTCAAACGTGTGTAGTATTTTGGGGTGGGAGGAAAAGAATACCGAATGTATCGGAAATTTCTACCGCTTTCGCAATTCTTTGACCAATAAAACGACGGGCACCTGTCTGTACTCTTCGGCCGCAATTCTTGACCAATAGAACACGGGCACCTGTCTGTACTCTCGCCCGCACCAAAGGTTACGTAATGCAGAGAAAGGGGGAAAAGCTATTTCCGGGAGTATGACTCACCATCTGACATTCCATATTAGGAAGAAAAGTTGTTTATTTAATTTCGGCTTTGTTACGGTGAAAATAGCACGTTCATTTAAAAAAAAAGCACTTAAAGCAAAAAATAAGCACTAAAAACAAAAAAATAAGTGCTTTAAAGAAAAAGTAAGCACCTATAAGGGCCTTTATATTTTATTTTCAAATATAAGGACTTATAAGCACTTATAAGGACCGCTACGAACCCTGTGAGAAGTGGTCAGCGTGTCGCATTGTGAATGTTGGCGGTGAAGGTGGATGTCAGCTATGGAACCATGTGGACAACTGTTCTCCACAGGTTGCAATATCGGAAGATGTGTGCCGCTTGGGTTCCGAAGCAGCTCACCGACCAGCAAAAGGAATTGTGTATGGGGCTCGCACTGCAACATCTGTTTTGGTATCAGGAAGATCCCGTTTTCATGGAGCGGATCGTCACAGGTGATGAGACCTGGTGCCATCACTACGAGGCAGAGACAAAGTGGGACAGCATGCAGTGAAAGCATGCGTCGTCACCTCCCCCAAAATGTTCAAAGCCGTGCTGTCAGCATGCAAGGTGTTGCTCACCGTCTTTCTCCACATTCAAGGTCCGCTACTTGTGGAATTCCTCGAGCACAGAAAAACCATTAACTCCAATGTGTACTGTGAGACACTCCAATGCCTAAGCAGGTCCATGAAGAACAAAAGACCGGGCCTGCTCACGGAGGGTGTGGTTCTGCTCCATGTTAACACGCGTCCACATGTCTCCAGAGTCACACACATGGAACTGGTCAAGTTCAAGTGGGAGACATTGGACCATCTGCCCTACAGTCCGGACATGTCGCCCTGCGATTTCCATGTGTTTGGTCCACTGAAGAAATACCTGAAAGGGAAGCGCTTCAACTCGGACGACGTACTCAAGGACGCTGTAAAGGACTGGGTCTCGTCATGGCTACAGGAATTCTGGGAACAAGGAATCCTACGGCTTGTTCATCAGTGGGATCGTTGTGCTTAGGCCTATGGTGTATATTTTGAATAAAATCTACATTTGTATCCACTGTGTCGTTTCGTACCTTTTCATTTGATCACCCCTTGTATCTATAATGAATAATAAATTTTACTAGCTTAGGCCGTGAGACATAGGAGAAAACATCTTAGGTTTTTTGGTCCATTAGTTGGCTATCACTGCTCTATGGGACTAGAAATTAGAGTATATAAGTTGAAGCATAATACCAATGATTAAACATTGAGTAATGTATGTTATTTGAGGCTAGGTGACAGAAAATAATATAGCTTTCTTCTCTCAATATTGTACATGCTGGTACCAACAGATCTGCTTGTTGCAGAACCAATAGGCAATACTAGTCATGAAGAAAAGGTAGACTTCTTCCATCACAGCTGTGACCAATGCAAACCATTGGCCTAACCCATACAGTTTAAAACAGCCCTACTTAACAATGATGTTATTTCTAAATTTTGCACTTTGGCAAGTACACTTGCCACGTTCATAAGAGTAAAAATCAGAGGGAGAAAGATCCTAGTTAAGACTAATAAAATAAATTTTAATAGAGTAACTGATTTTGCCTTCGTTGAAAAAGAATCAGAAAATTCAGGTTTGTAACACCTATATGCCTGATCATACTTGACAACAAGATATAAAAGTGTGTTGTTGTAGAGGAAAGGAAGAGTCTTACTTTTGTTAATTTATTTTTTGACAGTGCTAAAAATTCACTTGTATTAGATATTGTTACAAAATGTGGTTAAATTCCACATTCAGAACTTCAGCAATCCTGACATATTTAGGATTCCATCTACTAAACATATTATTCCAATGAAACTAACATCTTCAGATGGTAACAACTGGAATTCTTCACATTTAAGTGTTGTAAATTGTTTCTGAAATTCATTGCATGATACATCATCACTCTTCATGCCTTTTATTGTGACTAGAAATGGGTATTTATTCACAAAATACTGAACGTTATTAAAACCATACTATGGTTTTCTCTTAAATTATAAATTTCTGATGATAAAATTACATGCAGCTTCAATATGCTATTGAACTCATGCAAAAAATTCTTTTTTCTCATTATGTTTTAATGCTTTCAGTACTTACAAACTTCAGTTGTCAATTAACAAATCTCATCTTCTATCTGATTTTCTAAATGATGTCAAGCATCTGTCAAAACTTTGAATTTTTTCATTACTGATAAAAACACATGCCAGAAATACAGATTTGGTGCCAAATTAGAATATTTGCATCTTTGCAGAAAGAATATAAAATAAAATGAAGAAAAGAGTGCATGTAAAACTTATAAATCATGAAAGATTTGTAAAAGTATATGTTCACGACTATCCACACAAGCAAACACTGTGCCCTACTAGTCATCATAGTCATACCCAGCCATCAAACTAAGTGCATATTGCATCTGGATTTATCCCAGTATGTAGGACCTACTTCCACTGCAGTCTAAATACCTAGAAGAGATGGTACACTGTTCAGTCAACTTTGTTAACTGTTCTTGACTATGCACAATCACAAAATAATAGAATGCCACAGTCCATCTGCGATATGGTGCTGGTGCACATGAATTTCCAGAAGTATTACTTATCTATACACTCAGCTTTTATGGTGTAACTCATTGATTACATGTCACAGAGATCTGACACCTTTACCTTTGGTGACCGCTTTTAATATGTTCTTGATATCCTGATACATTTTGATGGTTAAAGACATTACTCTTTCAGCACTGCATTACCTCCAAAAGCAGTATTTAAACAGTCTGTACTGCCTTCGATATATGCAAATAGCTAATGCTACAACCTACAGTTGTGCCTTTCTCAAAGTAATCTTTTCTACATCTCAATATTCAGACTAATTCCCAGTATGAAAATGAGACAGGAAAACTTGTGGTTTATTTTTATCCTTCCAAAAGCATACTGCAAAACATTAGGGCACAACCAGACTATTATATTTTGACTTTCAAAAAGCGTTACACAACTTTTTCCTTACACGGTACTTTTTAAACATACAGAAATAATTTATTATTTTAATTAATGCATTCACTAATAAATGGAACAATGCATGTTCAGTAATAAATGGCCATTGTGCCATTTATTACTGAACTAACATTTTATAAAGCAAACAAATCTTGAAAGCCTTTCCAAAATACAAATAACCCTTTTATAAACTTGAAGAGTGACCAGATATAGGTTTCTTAAGCTAGACTGAATTGATACAACTTTATTTAAAATCTATGCCAATCTAAAATTGCTTCTCTGCCTAATTTTACATTGGCATGTCCCGCTTCTAATCTAATTTTCTAACCTAAGTTTTATATCAATTGAATTTAATGATGTTTTTTTCAGTAATAGAATTTTTTAATTTTTTCCTAAATTATTCTGTAGTTGTGTATTCTGTTTGTAGTAGTTTCTAAAAAATTTTGAGAAAGGAAAATTTAAATATCACTATTATTTATACTTTAGTTTTGTTTCAATACTCGCAATATACTATAACACTAGTTTATAAGCATTATCTCACTGCTCATTTGTTCCATTTTGTTATTTTCTGATACTCTGAATATAATGCAATGTGACACAATATGTAAAATATCTTAAAACCTGCATACTTCTGCCCCCAATGGCCGTTTGTACGGGAAGGCCAGAAGCAGTGATCTCTTTATTAGAGAGGCATCTAATAGGTGGGCCACCACTGCTGTGAAGGAATCGACAAATTACATCCATGCCTTCTTTAGGATTTGAACCCAGGCTCTTTGGCATGGCAGTCACAGTCACTAACCACTTTCCCATCTGTGTGGCAAAACTGCATACTAAGTAAATGAATTCTAAAATATACCCATTTTTGGAATTCTTCAAACATAAAAGCTATAAAATAGAAATATACAAAAGTTCAATTACTCACCCTTTAGCCCAAACTTCTAATTTCAGTGACTGCCTCTTAAACTGACGCAATTGTGAACGTGATTTTCGATTAAATTCAAATTTAAATTCTTCTTGGAAAACTATAAAACAAAGTATTAAACATTTAAGAGAAAGTCAAGTTAAATTCACAGTTGTTAATTATGTCTGAAATGTGGCATATAATTTTTTAAACCCTAAAATAAATGGCTTAATAATTCACATATTAGAGCAAAAATTTAAAATAGCAGTTTGCTAGCCAAGAGGAATAAAAATAATGCATAGAGCATGATAAATATATTTTCTATTTAGGACATTAAAAAAAATTATTGCAATGTGTAATGGTTTTAAAGAAAAAAGATTAAATGCTGTGCATTAATTTTCATTCATTAACACATTCGCTGCCGATCACGCATTGGTGCGCAGTGTCAACACCTCCTGACCTGTGAGTTACAAGGCCTGAGCATGAGAGCGTGATGTCACAGCAGAAAAGCGGTTGCTCATGGCTCCGCTTTTTGCTCTTTGCTTTGCTAGTTTATTTACTTAGCTCCTGCTTGTTTCCATTTTTTTAAGTTACTATTTATGATATGTAATTTATAATAAACTTCAGAATGGAATTTTTAAACGTAAATCTTACGTATTATTCGAGGAAGTCAGGAAAATTATGTTTTTTGTTGCATTGAAAAGGGTAGGAATGAAAGCACACAATAAAATTGAATAAGTATGAATTCTAATTTTCTCTCTCTATTATTATTAGATGATTAGTAAATCCTGACCTGGCATTTTCTCTTAGATTACAGTTGGAAGAAACTACCATAGATACTGTTGACTTAAGAAATGAACTTTTTCTGATGAAGAGATGTTAAACAGATGATGCATGCAATTTCAGATTTCATAAAGATGTAAATTTCAGAATGAATTTAACTTATAGTCATTTGTATAATTTATTATTCAATGAAACTAAAACTGTTTTTTATTATTTCGCTATTTTTATCTTCAAACATTTCATTTCATTTCTGATACTCTAGTTTAAAAGGCAGTGAAAATTTGTTCACAAGAGAATAGAACATTATTTCAATAAAAAAATTTTATTTTTTAAAGCTTAACAACTGATACACCATTACTCTTTATAAAAATAATAATTTGTCATCAAAGGTAAGTAATTTTTCTGCAAAATTAAACAAGTAATTTAATATAAAAAATGTAACAATTTTTTGTCAAAATGTAACAATTTGTAACCTGTAAACAATTTTTTGTCAATATGCAAAAAAAGTTTAAATATTTTTAAAATATTTTTTTGCATGAAATAAAATAATTATTTAAAATTATCAGAAGTTAACAAGATAAAATAAAAATTCACACACAAAAAAGAGGTTATTGAAGAAATGAAACTTTTATTCAAGATGTGTATATTAAGTCTGATAATGCATTTTAATCAACTCATCAAAAGGTTATATTATTGAATACTACTGGGCCACATAAAAAGTCTCTGCATTTTTTTGCCTCTAGATGGTGTTGATGCCTATATATCCGGCAACATTCACCTGATTGTCTCAAACGAACATGTGCTTAAAAGGTGAAATTCAGCTTCTATTGTTTGTGAAGATAGTTTTTCTAATTCGTTGCTCATGTAAAAAAGTTACATTGATTTAAAAATGAGCGAAATCTCTAAGTTTTTCTAATTCATTGCTCGTGTAAAAAAGTTACACTGATTTAAAAATAAGCGAAATCTCTAAAGACATACGCTGTGTGATGCTTTTTTACTATAAAAAAGGTAAAAACGCTGCAAAAACATGCCAAAAAATGTGTGAAGTGTATGGTGAATGAAGGACTCAGGAGTGGTTTGATCTATTCCGTTCCGGAAATTTTGATGTCAAAGATGCACCTCGCTCTGGTCAGGCAGGCACTGAAAAAGTCGATGAAATTTTGCAACTGGTGGAGCAAGACCGGCACATAAGCTGTCAGGAAATAGCAGAGGCACTAAACATCAGCCACATGACAGTTTGGGAATCATATGAAAAGAGTAGGTTACAAAAAGAAGCTCAATGTTTGGGTGCCACATAGACTGCAACCTGGTGAAACCATCAATTCGGCCCTGTACTGTGAACAACTCGACCGTTTGAACAAAGCAATACAGAAAGAGTGACCAGAATTGGCCAAAAGAAAGGGAGTTGTGTTCCATCATGACAATGCGCCTTAATGCCTTTGGACCTTCTGGACCCATTGACTAAAAATTTTCATAGCAGTGAATGCATCTCTTCCAACACAAGGGGTAATTGCTTGTTCCTCTAAGTCAGACTCCCGATAGGTTAGGATTCTTCTATACTCGATTTCTGTGAAGTGATGGTACGAGTTCCTTTTCCTTATACGAGGCATAACACAGTCAACAAACAAAACGATTTCTGAACGAAAAATCGGCATTTCAATTTGTTTTTTAACCCTCTGGCTGATCATCCCACGATTTCCACAGACGACTCAAATGTAGCAAAATTTGCTCATCCCGTGATTTCCGTGGGCATATGTTTTTCTTCCTTTATTGAGAAGCGCATCCCGTTTTTCCCCCCTTTAACCATTGAAATAAATTATATACAGTATTAGGCGTTTAGTTTACGTTTTGGCCAACAGATATCATTAGTTCTCCACTAAATTGCAGCATTTGAAGGCCCGCTGTATTAGCGCTCAAACTTCACTTTTTGCCACTTTTTTTCTTACAGAAATGACTGCTAGAAAACGTTTAGCGATTATCTTAATTATTTAATTAAATTATTAAATTATTAATTAGATTTATGGATTAGATTAATAATTAGATTGATTATTAATTATATTTATTGATTAGATTAATAATTAGATTGATTATTAATTAGATTTATTGAATCTGGTGCAAAGACTGTGAAGTTGGACTGGACTTTGCCTTGAACCCTGTTTTGAACTTATCAAACTAAACTGCATTTCTAAGGTATTTTCCCTCAGCGCTTTATATTTTCTTAAATTTTATACATTTGACTTTTTTATATTATGCAATAAATAGAAATTAACTTTAATTCGACTGAAATTTATTTTAAAAAACAATTTTTTTGGTGATAACATCTGAAATTGGTTTTTCTGGCAACTTTAGTTTCTCATGATAAAAATCTATAAAAAAATATTTTATAGTAAAGAAAAAGTGCATTTTTCAATTCTCCAATATATATAGAATTTAAAATATGCAAAAAAAAAAAAAAAAAAAAAAATACAAAATTTCGGGGGGGAAGGGAAAGCGATTTCTTTCCACAAATTAAGCAGTCAGAGGGTTACTACTGTTTTGAGGCATCATTACTTTTCTCTGCAATAAGCCTATGCCGTGAAATATTTATCACTGGCATTCCCCAGCATGTTCTACCTTTTACATTTCCATCATGACATAGTAATTTTAATGGCCAGCAATGTATGATAACTAAAAAATATGAAATACGAAAACGCAAATTTTTCAGTTGTTATGAAGTGTATTTCTTTTTAAATTAATGAAATTGTACAATTTTTCTTAAGAGTTCCTTGTATGAGACTGCTCTGCATACAGAAATCTCGATTCTGCTTAGAGATGTGTAGTATCATTTTTAAACACACTATACTAATTGCGAACTTCCTAAAGTCTCAGATCTTCTATATGGACATACCTTATGTTATATAGATATAACATTCAAAGAGTACCTTGAAGACAACTGAAACAGTAGTGATCTCACGCTTGTAAATAATTAAAGGTACTTCTTTCTGGTCATTAGGGTGTAGTGCACATATGAATAACAAGTCGAAGATAACAGATTAGCCTGTTGTCAAGGGCAATCATTTTCAGCGTCGTTTTGTTTAGTCAGCGTTGGGCTCATTAACAGAGGAAAAAAAAAAGCTGAAAGCTTTCAAATTTTACATAATGCCCAAAGGCACTTTTTCTTAACGTTTTGTGTGTTACCTTTTATTCATTAAATATCATGTTTTACGCACTTAACCCTCTGAGCGGCCAGGGCTTTCGTTAACAAAGCACAAATTTCCCAAAACTACTATGAGAACAAATGATTTTTTTGATTTTAACGTAAAAACTCTCCTGGTATTTCATACCTCGAATTGCTTTCTTTTGATATATTGCCTTAATTTCTTTGACATATTTTATTACGCACATATATATATGTTCTTACAGATATCACAAAAAATATTGTTGCTGCTTAGAGCATTAAACCATAAAACTTAGTTCAACAGCAATATCACAAAAAAATTTTAAAATGAACATATCTTTAGAATTTCCGATACACAGACTCACGTGCTGGAGATAAAAACTTTTTTTTCGTACAGTCTTGCCATTGCTCACTTTTAAATCATTGAGTTTGTTAATCAAAAATTCGTTACAGTTTTACAAAATATGAAATCGATAATAAAACAAATTCCAAATTTGGGCTTTCAGATGCCCATATTTGCAGTAGGATTACGTCATTCAAAACTGGATGGCACTAGGTACCGTTGTTTTATCACAAAGCGAGAAACATACATACATTTATGCAAAATTCTTCATTATTTAATTTCTTCGAATATAATACAGGTAGTATTTGGTGGCAACGATTTGAAATGTGATACAGCCTTTTAAAGTTTTCAACACAAAATTTAAAAAAAAAAAAAAAAAAGTTTTTCAGGGACAAAGCCCTTTTGGACTAATAACTGCAACTACAGTACTAGCTCGCACAGAGTAGTGATAACTGACAAGAAAAATCAGATAAAAAAATATAATTCCAAGTCCATGAAATAGCAAAATTTGTCCTTACAATTATTTCCTAGTTCTGCATAAACATTTACTTTTAATGAAAATTAATGTCAGACTATATCAAGCTGCTATAGCAAATCAGGTAAAGCATTCAAAGATTTTTTTTTTCCTTTTAAAACAGGTAAAAACTAATAATGTTATTTATAAATTAAATTTAATAGCCTTTTAAATATTCTACTGCATTAAAAAAGTTTTTAATTTGCATTTCCCTATTTATAAATATAAATTTTTGGTTAACATATATTTGTGAGCACATCTTTCACTTGGACTATATTTTTAGCAGTCCGTCTAACTTCAATCGGAACGCCACTTTAAAATTAT